TGAAATGCTCTGTTCTTTCAAAGACAGTGTAACTTCATGGTTAAGAGCTGAGACTTCCTAGTCGGATTCTGGATTTCAATATCCGTGCTCCGTCTTTGACTGACCATGCAACTCGGGCCAACTTACATAGGCTTCAAGCCCCAGCTTTCTCATGTGTCAAATGGGAATGACTTTGGCTTCTACCTCATAGGGTGGTTGTAAGAATTAAATGAGAAGCTCTATGTAAAGCATAACTCACAGGTCTGGCACAGAATAAATATTTGCCTTTTTCTCCAAGGACCACGCAAGAGATGATTATTTACGTTCTTATGTCATTATCTTGATTTCTTCAAATCCTTGTTGGAAGAAGGCAGGTTATAAATAATAAATAATTGTGATTTATTATTCTTTGTTTTCAAAGAAAGAATTAGTCATTGTTGATTTATAGTACCATAATTTATAATTACTCACACACAGAATTCAGGTGGACACTAAATTTCTCCTGCAAGAAAATTTCCACTGGTGGAACGTGGCAGTATAATGCGAAAGTCAAGTGGTGATTTTTCTTTGCTAGTAATAATATCAACTCTCAGTTCTCAGTGTTTTTAGAAGTGTTCTATTTGCTTATTCATTCTTTGAGATGAAGAAGGCAGTATTCTCATTTGAAAACATGTCATTGTAGATTTTGTCATTGCTGTATGCTGAATATAATAAAGATATAATATGTGCATGGGGGCTGGGCTCGGTGGCTCAGCCTGTAATCCCAGCATTTTGGGAGGCCGAGGTGAGTGGATCGCCTAAGCCCTCGGGTTCGAGACCCACCTGGGCAACTTGGTGAGACCTCATCTCTACATAAATCAAAAATGAGCCGAGCGTGGTAGCGTGCGCCTATAGTTCCAGCTACTTGGAAGGCTGAGGCGGAAGGATTGCTGAGCCCAGCAGGTCGAGGCTGCAGTGGCCGGGAGCAGCCACTGCACTCCAGTCTGGGCAATAGAGTGAGACTCCAACTCAAAAAAAAAAAAATATATGTACGTGGGAACAGCATTAAGTGGCATGATCTAGAATCTGGAGACACCATGAAGTTAATTAGGTGAATCTCAAGTCTGGTGGTGAGGATCAGAGATCAAAATGTCTCTGGAGAATTTCATGCATTTCCCTACCATAAAGGGCGTTATGAGGAAAGCTGGGAAAGAGTAAAAGCTTTCCAGTTATTTTAATATTGTTACATTTTGTCCTCAATAGTGTATTTTGTTAGCCTTATTAAGTATCAAGGAATACCAAATCATTGACTAGAAGCTGATGATATAAAGATGAATAGTCATGGGCTTATATTCTAGATGATCACAATGTAGTAGGAAGGAAATATGCAAAAGACTTATAATTAGGAAAAATGTGTAAATGACATCATAGAGGTATATATGTCTTGTCATAGGACACTCTTTAAATTTTGTCATCTTCTCATACTTACCATAGAGCTGCAGTAGGACAGACTTGTAAGAGAATGCCAAAATAATCTGTGTGTAGCCACAAAAGCTTATGTGAGATAGTTTGGAAATTTAATATGTACTCAAATGAAATATCATTGACACGTTCATTTTTTCATGATCATTTTTTTTTCTTAGCCTCAAAGGCATGCATTCTGGCATTCTCCAAACATGAGAGAGTGTGAGTTGGGGTAATCATAATCCACAGATTTTGAAACTGTTACTATAAATTTTTTTAATCCAAAACCATTCACTGATTAAATAGTTGCTGTATCACAAAGGCTGGAGAGAAATTGATTGAGTTTGTATAACAACAGCATGTCACCAAATGAATAAAAAGGATTTTTTGAAAATTGGCCAGAGAGGTTTTTCTTTTTTCTTTTAAAAGAAGTTGGTTTCTCACACACCACACACACACACACAAATTGTGCATGACTTATTTCTCCATAGTACCCAACTTCAGTCTATTTTTATCTCCCCCTTAAGGCAACTTAAGCTAAGGGATGTCATTGGCTTAGTACATATTGATATTCTTTCTGAAACAGGATATGATACAGTATAATACTCGCATAATCGGGATTCTGTCTAGACTACTGAAATTAAAATAGTGACAGAGCAAAAGGGATATTATTTCTGAAATAGAATACTTTAGGAAACATTGTTTTACCACAATATTGATGAAATATGCAGATATGGAATAGTATTATATATCAGTATTTAGGTTAATGTTTTAATATCAAAAATGTTCTAATGACTTTTGTATGTTAATTTTAATTTTATAGATAGCCATCATTTTAGACTGACTTGTCAGAAGATAATTTGCATGTTTCAATAGAGATAACAAGGAGCCTGAAACATAAGTGTATCTCAAAAACCAGAGCTTACTATCTGTGCTACAAAAGAGGGGAAAATGTTGTGTGTTTTGTGCTAAAATATAATCAGTAAATATTTTAGTAGGTGACTGATTACTAAGAAACAAACCAAATACCAGTCTTAAACCTTAGCAGTATTGAATAAATAAAACTGAGTTCTTAAATCTTGTTAGAGTTTCACATCTGTTTAGTAAAATAATTTATTTCTCAATTTTTTTTCCTGAGCATGTTTCATTGAAAAAAATTACTGAAGAACAATTTCAAACCAAGGCCCACTTGAAACCTACTAAATATTGACTCCCACTTCTTTCATTTGTTCGCCTGAGGGAGGGTATGGAGAAAGTTACCTTGAACTCTCGGGACCAGGCTTGACTGAGCTACATGTGTACCCCAAGGAGATGATGAGTTCTTCTTTATCTCAATATTCCAGAAATATTTGTTTTATATTTCTATAAAGCAAAGGAAGAATATAGCATTCAAATGATGTACTGAAGTTTTGAATTAATACATGGGGTAGAATTCCTACTCAGCCACATATCGGCTCCACGACCTTGGGCAAAACTATTTACTATTTCTCAGTTTTCCCATCTATAAATGGTCATTATAGTAGTACCTACTTCCTAAGGGCATAGTGAGGATAAAAAGAATTAATTCACGTAAAGTCCTTAACAGAGCACCTATCAAATATAAATTCTTAAAATAAGTATACTTAATAATATAATTATTTAAAGTAGAATTCCTTTATCCCAAGATGAATTTTTGCACTTTTTTTCCTTTTTTTTTTTTTTTAATTTTTAACTTTAAAGGTGTGGGGTATAATTCAGAGTATACAAATGTTCATTATATAAGTACCCTTGTTGATGAGGTGTGACCCCGCCTTCCCTGGCAGTTTTCCACTAATGCTAATCCCACCCCCACCCCTACCCCCAGCAGTTCCCACTACTACCAATCCCACACTCCCTCCCCTGGCAATTTTCCACTATTGCTAATCCCACCCCACCCCCCCATCCTCACAGCAGTTTCCCGCTACTGCCAATCTTTTTTCTTTCTTATGGTATTATGATAATTGTTCAAGGTCCGCTTATGTGTGAGAACATGTGGTACTCAGTTCTTTGTTTCTGTGATAGATCACTCAGTATTATTGACTCTAAGTACATCCAAGTTGCTAAGAAGTTCATAATCTCTTTTTTCATATCTTAAATTTGAAATAATAGTGAATTTTATTCCACTTGAAGAGACCTTGCAGTCCTTTTCTTAAATTATAGTAAATGGCAATTGGACAAGATTAATTTATCTCTCGTAACAACATTAGTTGTGTCTGTGTCCATCCCAGCCTCCAATTTGGAATAATACACATGGGAACTTTAGCTTCAGTGAGACTTCTTGAAGCGATTTTAATTCCCTTTATTCATACCTTTGAAGCCATCTGCTCTATAGAAAAAAACATAGGTGACAAGAGTGGAAATGGCCTCACCGAAATGTGTATTGATTGTCCTCTCTCATATGAGAGGTCAGAAATAGACATAATAAAATAAAAAGTTAAGTAAAGGTAGCTGAATCTGTTAAACATATCTATCTAGATTTAGATCACAAAAGAGGATAAATGTTCCAAAACAGCCGTAAATTCAAATTCATATGCTTCCTTAAATTTTAGAGATCTGCTTATGATTCTCATTTCTCCCCTTGTATGTATTTGAATGACATATCCATCATTTAAGACCAGGATCTAGTGATAAATTGCACAGAGCCTTGGTAGATTTTGAGCTCTTTTGCTAATATCCTACACTCCATTTCCCTGCTGCTTCCTTAGGCTGAAGCTGCACTGACCAAGACCAGATCATGTGATAATTTCTATGGCTTTCGGTTGGCCTGAGCCAGCCAGCCATTTGATTCTGTCATAGGCACTGAGTTATTGAAATTCAGTTAGGATTTGAAGCTCATGGTAGTTGGTGGATTAATTTTGCTTAGGTTGATAGTCATTTCATTTTTTTTAACATAAAGAGTGTCACACATCATCTTGGATCTGAAATGGTGAGTACAAGTATTTATAGCCTTGAATTAGAGGCTATCAACCACATAATTTGTATTTGCATTAAATCTGGATGGCACTGAATTTTCAGATGCAAGTTTGGCAGGGCATTTGAGATCTGTTCTTTTGTAGACCAAATAAAATTCAAGTTTCATTTCTTGGAACCTTTATTTGTGTTTTGTATTATAAGTTTATAAGACCATAAAATCTGAAGCCTTCTGATGGATGGTTAACACTCACATTAATGTCCTTAATATTCATGAAATAATATGACATAAGACATGAAAAATTCCTTTCAGGTACAAACATAGAAACATGTTAGGTCGTATTTTTCTCGTTTAGTGCATTTGTTTCTACTTTTTAGGATGATAAGGATGATACTACTGACATGGAAACTTATTCTGTTCTTTCAAAAGTTAATATTTGTTTGCATATATATTTATGTGTTCAGCTTTTGCAGTTGCTGCTTTGCCAGTTTTATCAGAAGTAAAGCAAGTGTTTGTTGTCTTTAGAGCTCTCCTAATTTATACAAACAATTTTGATGTTGTTGATCTTAGTATGAAGAGTAGTTAGAAAAGGGAAAAATCTTTAAATATGAAATAATTTTCAAATTGTTGAACATTTTTTCTCTTGTAGCGAGAGATTCTTCTTGAGGCTGAATAGAAACGGTCTTCCCAAAGCCCCAGATAAACCAGAACGGCATTGCTCTCTTTTTGTGGTAAGTGGATCTTGTTTCACTCACAAGGCAGATTCATCCACTTATGATTCATATTATTTAGGAGAAATAAATTATTGTGAGAGAATACAGTGAATGTGCTTACACTTTATATAAATAACACACAAATACCATTAGTCCTAAAATTGTGAATACCACCATTCACAGTTACTAAATTCCTTTAGTGTATTCTTGACCCTGTTATGCTATTCCCAAAGTACAATAGTGGCATGGCACCACTACTGGTACATGGTATTTAGTACGTGCTTAACAGATGTTTAAAGAATGAATGAGTGAGAGATATCTCAATAATGGTCTTTTTTTTTTCTTAAGCATCACCTGACATCAGTAGACCTAAAGTTGATTGTAGTGGTATTTTTAGAACAGGATTTGAATCATGTGCTTCTGCTACAAACATTCCATTAAGAATGTCTGCGTTCATCTCTTCCTTCTTTTATTTGTGAAAATAACATGTGATGCTCTTTCAGTAATGCTTATGAGTTCTAAAATAACTAAACTTTGTTTTTTTGATAGGATTTGGGGAGCAGCGAGCTAAGAAAGGACATCTATATCACCGTGCACATTATCCGAATTGGTAGGTACAGCACTTGTCAGTGTGGTAGGGCAAGTAACAGGGAGAAGAAATACTGAGGGGTCCCTATGTGGTGTGATTTGCTTGCTCTCTGAATTAGAGAGAAGTCAAGGCCAAATTTGAATTCAAGAATCACAGAAATTGGGAATTGTTCCCTGCTCGCCTCAATCTCACGTACAACCTCCTCACCCACTGTCAGTAGATGTGGGTCTCTTTAGATGTAGGTTGTTAAGAAGTTTTCTATGTTTCATTGTGTTCTGTTGGTCTTTGTAAACATATTCAATTCAAACATTTTGTGTTTGTCTTTTAAAGTTCTCATTTCTGTTAGCATAAAACGAACTTTCAGCCACTGAGTTTCCTACAGGGTTATGGAGGCTTTACACCAATTGGCATTTTCCAAAGTGCGGAATACTGAACAGCATTATTAAGAAGGATCTACAAGAAAAGGGTTATGAAATCCTGAATGCTGTTGGTTTCTAAAAAAAGTCGTCTAATATCATCAGCTTATTAAGGGGTCCGAGAAGTCCTATAGGGAAAAATATACATGACTTTCTAATTGTGTTGACCCTAGTATTCCCCAAGTTTGATTTGATCATGAAAACATGTATGTATTATAGCTTTTTTTTTTTTTGAGTAAGAGTCTCACACTGTCGCCCAGGTTGGAGTGCAGTGGCATGCACACAGCCACCACAGCCTCAACCTGCTGGGCTCAGGTGATCCTTCCACCTCAGCCTTCCAAGTACCTGGAACTACAGGTACACATGACCATACCCGGATAATTATTTTTTCTAATTTATTGTAGAGACGAGGTCTCACCAAGTTGCCCAGGCTGATCTTAAACCCATGGGCTCAGACAATCCTCTCGCCTCCGCCTCCCAAAGTGCTGGGATTATAGGCGTGAGCTACCACACCTAGCTTAATGTAGCATTTATTAACATCTTGCACAACACATTTTTTTAATTTTAATTTTTAATTTTAAATATGTGGGGTTCAATTCAGGGTTAGGTATACAAATGTTCATTATGCAGGTACCCTTGTTGATGAGGTGTGCCCCCCTCCCCTGGCAGTTTCCCACTTCTACTAATCTCACTCCCCCAACCCCCCGCCCTGGCAGTTTCCCACTACTGCCAAGCCCTTTCTTATAGTAGTATGATAATTATTCAAGGTCCACTTATGAGTGAGAACATGTGGTACTCAGTTCTTTGTTTCTGTGATAGATCACTCAGTATTCTAACCTCTAAGTCCTTCCAAGTTGCTGTAAAGTTCATGATCTTGTCCTTCTTTATGGCTGTGTAATATTCCATCGTGGTACATGGTATATGTACCACATTTAATCCAGTCTTCTTTCGATGGGCAACACGGTTGGCTCCATGTTTTTGCTATTGTAAATAATGCTGCAATACATATACGCACAACACTCTTTTGATGTTTTTTGATAAACTTGCTCAGTGGAGCCAGAATATGTTCCCTCATTTGTATATACAAAATACCGCTAAAAGCAGGCATTTTTAAGTAGGGGAAGTAGGTAAAATGAGAAATGGTTTAACCTACACAGTTTTTCCATTAGGGGTAACCAGTTGATATTGGAAATTTGTTGCTACCTTTTCACTAACTGTGCTACATTACTTGCATGGAACTGCTTCTGCAGGATAGTAATATATTGCCATGTGATCCTGCAAAGTGAGCTTTATTTTTAAAGACTTTTATTTTATGCTCACAATAACTACATTTTGCATTGAGAGAGCCTATAAAACATGTTTTCGTTCCAACATAGACTTTCTATATGTTTTTTCTCATAAATATTTGTTCTGAAATCCTGTTTTCATTTTATGCTATTTTCATATTTGAAGAACAGCAGAAATAAAAATAAATAAATAAACCAGATCTGGTTCTGTTTTAATTTTTCTTTATATATTTTCTTTTAAAGATGTGGAGTATAATTCAGGATTAGATATATAAGTGGACATCGTACAGGTGAAATTTGGGCCTTCCTTTGGTCCCCACTTTACCTGGTTTGAGATCTGATAGACTTATTGATGTTATGTGCCCCCATCATGCCCAGCTAATTTTTTTTTTTTTTTTTTTTTTTGATTTATTGTAGAGATGAGGTCTCACCAAGTTGCCCAGGCTGGTCTAGAACCTGTGAGCTCACGCAATCCTCTCACCTCGGTCTTCCAAAGTGCCGGGATGATAGGCATGAGCCACCACGCACAGCTGTAATTGTGTTTTTTATTAAGATATTTATGGTCATCAAGTCATCCGAATGAATATTGAATCAAAAATTACCTCTCCACCCTTGTCCCCCATTTTGGTCAAATGAATACTTCTCTTGGATTATTGCAAAAAACACGGACTGGTTCGACATTTTGAGACAGAAAAAGATTAAGAAAGGTTAAGACAGACTGCCAGCTTCTTGATGCAATGAAATGAAACAGTGGAAGATTGTCTCTCGGGGACAGATACTTCTTACTTTTTATAGCGCATTCCTCGTACCTGTCTTAGTGGGAAAAGGGCACACTGACCGCACTGTCTGCAGAATGCAGGAACCATAGCACCTCACTTCTGGGAATTTAAGTCTAGATCTTGGAAAATATGGGAAGGAAAAATGAAATTAATAATTTTACAGCTCCTACCCATCCCCGCTATTAAATTCCTTCCATCTCTATGCCTCCTTTCTGGCTTTTGACTGGTTGCTCATTATGTTTACCTTCCCTCTCTCCTTCCACATCCCTTCCTGCTTAGGAAATGTTTCTAGAAATCTGACCACAACTATGAATTCTTATTAATCCTAGGGTTGGGAATGCCAGGGCAGGCATCAAGTTGTCTGTTCAGTATAGTAATTAGACCAAAGTTGTGGTGTCCAAAGCTGTGATGCCCACAGAGCAAGGAAAAACACCTTAAACTTGCATGATTGAGGACATGAGTGGGATGGAGGTTTGGGAATTAACCTTCGGTCAGAGAGAATGACAGAAATTTCACTGGAGAGCTTTCTGAAGTGGTTGTGAGAGCCACTCTTCTCCTATCACCTTTATTCTGCCATTCCTCCTCTCTCTCTCTCAGTTGTTTCTTTCTTTCCTTCTTTCTTTCTCTCTTTCTCTTTTCCTCCCTCCTTCCCTCACTCCTTCTTTCCTTCCTTTCTTCCTTTAACGAGTCAGAGTCTCGCTCTGTTGCCTCAGCTGGAATGCAGTGGCACGGTCATGGCCACCATAGCCTCAAGCTGCTGGGCTCAGGTAATCCTTCCAAAACCTCAGCCTTTTAAATAACTGGGACTATAGGCACCTGGCTCATTTTATTTATTTATTGAGAAGCAAGGTTTGGCCATGTTGCCCAGGCTGGTATCGAGCTCCTGGGCTCAGGAAGTCTTCTCACCTTGGCCTTCCAAAGTGCTGCAATTACAGCATAAGCCATCACTCCTGGTCCAGTTTTTTCTTTTTTTGAGTTGACGTTTCACTCTATCACCCAGGCTGGAGTATTGTGGCCCTCTCATAGCCACCCCAGCGTCGACCTACTGGGCTCAGGTGATCCTTCCACCTCAGCCTTCCAAGTAGCCGGAACTACAGGCGTGTGCCACCATGCCCAGTTGATTTTTTTATTTTTATTGTAGAGATGAGGTCTCACCAAGTTGCCCAGGCTGTTCTCAAACTGCAGGCTCAGGCAATCCTCACATCTTGGCCTCTCAAAGTGCTGGGATTACAGACTTGTACCACTGTGCCTGGCCCCAGTTTTTTCTTTAGTGCACTTTTAGCTTAAAAAAATAGAAAAGAGCCGGGCTTGGTGGCTCAGCCTGTAATCCCGCGCCTTTGGGAGGCTGAGGTGTGTGAATTGCCTAAGCCCGCGGGTTCAAGACTCACCTGGGCAGCGAGACCTCATCTCTACAATAAATCAAAAAATCAGCCGGGCCTGGTAGCGCATGCCTGCAATTCCGGCTACTCGGAAGGCTGAGGCGGAAGGATCGCCGGAGCCCAGCAGGCGAGGCTGCGGTGGCCGGGAGCGGCCACTACACTCCAGTCTGGGCGACCAAGTGAGACTCCAACTCAAAAAAAAAAAAAAAAATAGAAAGATACATGGAACCATCCGTGCTGCCCATCGAAAGAGGACTGGATAAAAAGAATGTGGTACATATACACAATGGAATATTACAGAACTATAAAGAAGGACAAAATTATGAACTTTGCACAACTTGGATGGACTTAGAGTCTATAATACTGAGTGATCTATCACAGAAACAAAGAATCAAGTATCAGATGTTCTCACTCATAAATGGACCTTGAACAGCTATTGTAATACTATAAGAAAGGGTTTGGCAGTAGTGGAAAACTGTCAGGAGAGGGCGGGAACAGGATTAACAGTAGTAGGAAACTTCCAGGGGAAGATGGGCACACCTCATCAACAAGGGTACCTACATAATGAACATTTGTATACCTAACCCTGAATTGTACCCCACATATTTAAAATAAAACATTTTTAAAAGAAAGCTAATTTTTAAAAAAGGTGAATTAATATGTATGCACGTGTTTGTGTAAATTGTAGGAGCCAGCAGAGTCCTTAGGAATAATCCCGTTCACAGTTTCTAAGGTTCTTTTTTTCACTAATGAACTTATTTTCTGTTATACATATAGCTGTATGTGTCTCCAGTTATTAAATAACTATGACATGCTCCACTCAGAAATCTTCTATTCTCTCTGTCATCTTGCATTTACAAGGAAATCATTAAGAAAAAAATCATATTTTAAATTATGATATTGATGAAGATTGGTCGTTTCATCCTAGTACATTCTGTCATAATATTCAACACAGAGACAAAGTGAGACTTTTTACATTTAAAAAGTGACCAAAGCTTTAAATTTGTTTAAATTAATTCTGTAAGTAAAAGTAAGATTGGTTGATAATTAAACTGAAATATGACATAAAATGTTCAATTTGTAAGCAAAATTTAAGTTAAAATTATGTAGATTGAAATTTACCCTCGCATATGGTGTCAGGTCATGAAAACCTGATATTTTTTAAAATTCTGTTTGGCACATCTAAAACCAACTGACTTGCTTTGGCCACTTTTAAGTTTTGGTTCTAACTGATAAAATAAGAGTTTTAGGGGCCGCTGCTTGTAAGCATGCCTCTGAAAGTGACATATTGCTGAGGTGGGATTCCTTTATTACTGATGGATGAAAGCTAAATTGGATGTTGCCTTTCCTTTTTTTCTACTCAAATTGGATTTTGGAAGTGCTGGAGACATCTTGAGGCTATAGGAGTATTTTTCTCAGATAGAAACCATTTCTGGATCTATTGACAAGCCTCTGGAGACACATTCACAGATTTTTTTTTTCATTACTTTTCCCCACGTTAACTTGTTACATTTCAGCTTCAGTGTACTTTCTGCTTTCTATCTTCAAAATAGTCCATTAATAATTAAATACCAATATAAAAACAATATATTACTAGCCTATTTCAAGATTTGTGACAGTTTAAACAAATTAAAACTTCGTAACAATCAAAACCATCCCAGGGGAGTTGCTCACCTATGATTACTTGTTATACCTCAAACAATCTCAAACTACTTCCTATCAAAAGTGAAATTTTTGATATAGTTTTTTTTTTTTTTTTTTTTTTTTTTGGAGTTGGGGTCTCCTTCTGTCACCAAGGCTGGAATGTAGTGACACCATCACAACTCACAGCCACATTGATCTCCTGTGCTTAGCAATCCTTCTGCCTCAGCCTCTCTAGTAGCCGGGACTACAGGAGTATGCCACCATACCCAGCTTATTTTTATTTTTTAAATTTTTTTGTAGAGATGAGGTCTCACTGTGTTGCCCAGACTGGTCTCAAATTCCTGTGCTCAAGCACCCCTCTTGCTTCGGCCTCCCAAAGTGCTGGAATTTCATGCATGAGCCACCTCTCCTAGCTAATAATTTTTTTATATGGATTTTTTTAAAAATAGAAAATAAAATAGGCACCATTACTGCCTTAAATGACATGGACTTTCTGGGGTGCCTTCATGAATGGGGGTGAGGGGATGGTTCCCAAACATGGGATCAGTTCCAGTCTTGGTGTTTTACAGATGGCGACTGATGTCCAGAGTTTTAGCTGCTTACCCGAGGTCACATAGCTAGAAGGTTGGAGAGGAGAGTCCAGAACTGAAATAATGTCTTCTGTCACCCTCAACCTGTGTCCTTTTCAATGTCCAGTGACATTTTATATGGCCTTTCTTATATGTATCTCCACTTAAGATGCATCTAATCCAGTGGCCCCATGGGTCATACTTTTTCTTGAACTGGACAGGTCGAATGGGAGCCGGGGAGAAAAAGAATGCCTGCAGCGTCCAGTACCGGCGACCTTTTGGCTGTGCGGTTCTCAGCATCGCTGACCTGCTAACTGGAGAGACAAAGGATGACCTCATCCTGAAAGTATACATGTAAGAGTATACGTGTGCATGGTGGACCTGGGGTGGGCACAGGAGTGCACGGGGTCCTATTTGGTTGGAAGATACTTGACGTGTGTAATAGAAGAGCAATGGATGCTTTTGGATTCTGACTCATTCCTCTACAGCCCGGTAATCCACAGACATGCTGCTAGTGAGTCACATGCCTGTCAGAGGAATCGTGAAATCGAGAACCAATAAATACAGTTTATTAATTAGGTAGAGTACTCCTCGCTACCTAACATAGGGTACTGCCTTTGAATTTACAAACCTAGCATGTCTACCTTCAGACAATTGATTTGTGGATAGTGGGAAATTTTTTTTTCTTTGAGTCAGGGTCTCATTCTGTCAGGCTGGAGTGCAGTGGCATGATTACCACTCACCGCAGCCTTGACCTCCTGGGTTTAGGCAATCCTTCTACCTCAGCCTCCCTAGTAGCTGGGACTACAGATGTGTGCCTCTATGCCTGGCTAATTTTTTTACTTTTTGTAGAGACGAGGTCTCGTTATGTTGCTTAGTCTGGTCTCAAACTCCTGGGCTCAAGCATTCCTCCTGCCTCATGCTCTCAAAGTGCTGGATTGCAGGAATGAGGCACTATGCCTGGCCTGAAATACTTTTTAATATAAATTAATTAGAATCAGGAAAGGGAAACCCAAATTATTTCTCTAGTACTCTTTGTATTAGTTTTGGGGGCAAGCCATAAAAAGTGCCACAAACAGTCTGGTTGAAATAGCAGAAAGTACTGCTGCAGTTCTGGAGGCTAGTGGTCTGAGATCAAAGTGTTGGCAGGGTTGATTCCTTCTGAGGGCTGTGAGGGGAATCTGCTCCATGCCTCTCTCGTAGCTTCTGGTGTTTTGCTGGCCACCTTTGGCCTTCCTTGACTTTTAGACACCTCATTCCCACTTTTGCCTTCTTGTTCACAGTGTTCTCTCTTTGTTCATGTGTCCTTTTTATAAGGACATGATCATATTCGAGTGGGACTCACCCTAATGACCTTATGGTAACCTGATTACCTCTGTAAAGATGCTCTTTCCGAATAAGGTCACATCCTGAGGTGGGGGAGTTAGAATTTCAACGTTACCTGTGTTGGAGGACACAGTTTAACCCAAAATCACCTGATATATTCCAATTCCTAAGTAAAATTGTTTTGTAAATACACGTGGGTTTGAGTCACCCCATGCTCAGCACCTCCCCACTTGATCATCGAGGGCTGATACACGGCAGCATCCTCAGAGCGGACCTACAGGGTTTTCCCTATTCCTGCTCTGAGGACCATGCTCCTGGCCACCTCCACGAGTGAGGCTGCTTTAGTATTTCATTCTGGAGGTTGTGTTGCTATTGCCAACATATGCCAGTGGTCTTTTCATAGGTGGCAGGGGCACAACTTTCCCACTGCCTGTGGGGACAGATCCTCCAAATGGTTTTTTGACAACTGCTGCAGGGTTTCACGGCTGTATCTACTCTCCACCCAATGGGACCCATGCAGTATATTTAGTAATCAGTTTACAAAGATTTATCTAAAGCCTGTGGTGTAGGACTGGATATTCTGTTTATCCCTTTTAAGAGGGGTGAAACCTGTGTCCTTGATTTTAAACTTGATTCACTTCCAATGAAACTAGTGAGTGGTAAAACTCGTTATACTTCTTATCACATGGCAACCCTAGGATGTTCATGGTTGGGCTTAAATCTATGCTGATCTTTCCAAACTCGACTGGTAGTTATCAAATGTAATTATTTAATTTTTCTGAGTCAGAGTCTCACTCTGTCACCCAGACTGGAGTGCAGTAGCGCACTCATGTCCACCACAGCCTTGACCTGCTAGGTTCAGGAAATTCTTACACCTCAACCTTCCAAGTAGCTTGAACTACAGGCATGCGCCACCACGCCTGGCTAATTTTTTGATTTATTGAAGAGACCAGGTCTCGCCAAGTTGCCTAAGCTGGTCTCAAACTCCTGGGCTCAAGCAAACCTTTTGCCTCTGCCTCCCAAAGTGCTGGGATTACAGGCGTGAGCTACTGCACCCAGCCTCAAGCATAGTTTATTTGAAATGCTAATAACTGGTAATAGTCACTGTTTACTGTGTACTTTACTGTGTGTGAGGAACTGTGTTAAGCACTTTGCACATATCATATCATTTCATCCTCACAAACCCATGAAGCAGTCAGATGCTCTTAGCTCATTTTTACACTCAAGGAAACAGAGAGCTAAATAAGTTGCCCAAAGTCCCCTGGCTAATAAGAAAGGGAACCAGATTTGAAGTCAGGACTGCCTGACTCTGGAACTCAAACTCTAAGGCTAACAGGTGGTATTTTTTATTTTTATTTCCAGATATATATTTTTTTCCAGATATTATTTCACACCCCAACCTACTAATGTGATGATCCTGCTGTTATGTGACTTTGCTTTTGAAGAAAACTAATATTCATCCCAAACACAATCTCATCATTGCTTAGAGTCTTCTTTCCAGGTGTGGGTAGCAAGTACTGTATTTATCTTGCCACTGGGAAAACGGAGGGACCGGCAGTCACATGCATCACCCTTGATTATGCAGCCAGCTGAATAAGACCCATGAATTCCAGCTTTGCCTATGGGGAACACTCGCGCTCATAAAAATAATGGTTCTGCTCTTTGTGGTTTTTTATTGTCTGTTTTTTCTTAAGCATCAAATAAGGATTAGAGTAATTCTTGTTGGAAGAGAAACCCCTTAAAAATGCCAGTTCAGCAGTTTGCAAAGCTGTTTCAAGAGGAATGCTAACCGGTCAAAACAGTCACTATAGATTAGAAAGGAACTGTGAATTTAGTAAAACATCTTAGGAGAGTGTCTGTTAGAAACAATAGAAATTGAGAAGTTCTATTTGCTAAGGTGACCGAATCCCTAGCCCAACTGGGACCCAAATAAAGAGCAGTTACAAATACCTGCCTGGGCCTGGAACATATTTCAGTCATATTCTTTGGGAACTTTGATTTTTTAAAAAATTTTATTTTGTTTCATTTTATTTAGAGTTTTGTAAGCTAAAAGCGTGAATTCTGGAAATACTTCACTATCTAATAGGAAGCAAGCCATCTTTCTTCTTTCCCTACTAGACCGAAATAAGAAAACTGGAGACAAAATATATTCAATGGCAATTTGGTGTCTTACGGCTGGAAAGGTGGGATGGTTTCATTCCATCTTAATTTTCCGGCCTTCTAAGATTCAGTGCTCACTTTGGTATCCCACTGTGAACTGACTCGAAAATAACCTCCATTGTGTTCATCCTGGAAAAACCCAGGGTAATGAAATAAATAAAGATGTAAGCAAATGATTGTGAATTACCTGCCTCTGACTTGATCACTGGAAAAGGGAATCTGTGCTGTGGAAGATTTCAACTGATAGTGTATAAAATCGTGATGTTCGGGACTCTTGAGAGGGAGCATTCGTGGCTAATAAAAGATAGTAGCTAATTTACAAATGTGTTCAGAGAAGGCACTTTCTCCCTAGTTCAACAGAAAATAGTGGCAGTAAAGATGAATAGCAGACCCACATATTTATGAGTCCTCTGGAGTCCCCAAGCAGAGGGGCATCCATTCATCCATCCATTCGTGCAACTGGTGCTTTTTAAGCATCCACAGTGTTCAGAATGGGACTTAGATAACCAGTCCCAGATCCAATTCTTGAAAACCTTAACAGTCTATTGATGAACTACACCATGTAAACAAAGATTAACATGAGCCAGCGAATGATAGGAGCTAAGAGAAGGAGAAACAGATGGCTGTGAGAAGACAGAAATGCTGTTTCTCCCGGATGTAGAAGATCTGAGAGAATACTTTTATTACCGTTTAGTAAATCCTGCACGCCTTTTGCCAGTGTAAGCTGTGTTATCATCCGTTTCATTTTGTTTGATTTGTTGCATTCTGGCAATAGCCCAACCTGGTCATGTCATAGTAGGCGGCGACTCACTAAGGAGATCTAACGTTTATTGAGCATTTACTATGTGCCAGACATTAGCCTAAGCCCACACTTATTTAATTTTCTGATATATTGTCCCTGTTTCATAGATGAAGAAATCAAGGCAAGCATGAATAACTCACCTAAAGAACATAGCTCGGTTAACAGTGAAAATTTCAATCTGGGGAGTAGAACTGTTAGTCTGCTTGGTCTTCTGAGTTATGCCTTGTTCGCTGAGGTTTTTGTTGTTGTTGTTTTGGGGCCACTTGTCATCTATGATTTGTTCACACCAGCTGCTTCTGTCATGAGGCAGGTGGTCAGGCATTACTTGATATGTACATTCCTTTTTTTTTTTTGAGTCAGGGTCTTACTGTGTCACCCAGACTTGAGTGCAGTGGCACAATCATGGCTCACCACAGCCCCAAACTCCTGGGCTCAAGGGATCCAACCTTCTCAGCCTCTCAAGGAGCTGGGACTGCAGGTGTGCACCATCATGTCCAACTGATATGTATATTCCTTCATCTGGGGGCAACTTTGCTAAAACTGACAGTCAATTGCTGCAGGTTCTTGGGGGACCTGGTTCTTGGGGGAACCTAGCAGAAGGTCATTGCTAGACCTCATGCATCTTTAAAGCTTAACAGAGTGTTAATGTTTTCACAGGTGTAATACAGAGAGTGAGTGGTACCAAATCCACGAGAATATCATCAAAAAGCTGAATGCGCGTTATAATTTGACTGGCTCCAATGCAGGTGAGTATATGGGTTGGCTGACTTTCCCTACACTTTTCATTTCGGGCCCTTACTTGGAGTTGTCTGTGTGCGAAGGAAATAGTCCTTGTTTTTCTCTCTCTTCACTCCCTCACTTTAAAAATGCTCAGTCAACCTTCTGGTATGTTCTCTAATACTATGATAGGCTTGTGAAAAATGCACTCCATTCTGGTTTGAAACAAAGAATAGGATCTGGATTTGTTCAGTGATACCAAATCTAGAGACTTCTGTGTTGTTACCGAAGGCTAAAAACCAAATGAGAAATATGCTTGGGTCCGTGGCTGATGTGTCAAATAGGTTTGATAAACAGCAATCTGTCAGGAAGGTCTAATAGAAAACATACTTCACGGCCCACAGCTGGCTGCAAGCAGTAACGCTATTAACAAACATACAAGTTCACACATTGACGTTGGCTAAGAAGGAAAGTGATGCTGACTACAGTGTCACGTAGGGAAAGATGTAGGCATGCTTGTTCAGAGGGGACCAGAAATATTATATACCACTGTAACGTGGAGTATATGGTACATAGTATTATATTATACCAATAACATAGACAATATACTACATGTATAGATTATATAGCATATATAGCGACATCTTTAAGTTTGGTCCATAAACAAAAGCTTGGTGAATATCATTTGCTCCATATCTGCCATTCTCACCCAGATCGAAGCAAAATAAATTATGCAGTTGCGTACTTTCATTGACATAAAAAAAAAACTTCAAATTAAGTTAGCGGTTACTTGAACTGAATATTTTTTGAAGGCAAGATTTATTGATTGGACAGAAAAACTCCCAGAGTGGGAGGGGACCTGTGGGGGTTGCCCTGCTGATTTTTATGACTGATTTTTAAGGCATCTTAAATATAGATATTTGTGTTATAGTTCAACTTGCCTGGCAATTAGAAAAACTGGAATTTAAATTCAGACCACCTTTTTTTTGGCACATCTCGTTAGGCTGAACTGACCCACAAAGAGAGAATAACTGCAGGCAGAGCTTTGTGGTTCAGTTCAATGAGAACTTAAGTACCCACGACTCACACATGTGGCAATGCTTCAGGGTGTAGTGAGGGGGGAGGTCAGTTTTCTCCTCCCTCCCCTCAGAGCAGGGGAAGTAACTTGGGTTTTATTTGATGCAGATGATCATTTGCTTTGGACAAAGTCTGGTATCTACCACTAAATAAACAAGATACTTGGAGCACTTACTATTGCTGGCATAGTCTCTAAAGGACTTGGAGGAGACAGTGAACGTGGAATATGACATGGAACTGTACTATATGCTTGTCTTCTCTTTTCCTGTAAAAGAATGAGAACTCAACAAGTTATATGCAACCAAATGGTTTTATTTCAGTGTTCCCTCAGTAAGATGGCAGAGCTTCTGCTTTTTAAAAACTTAACTTGCCTAATTCATTGGTGAGCTTCCAGTCAAATCCACTAGTTCTGTTCTAAACCTGTTGGGGTTTCTTACTGTTGACCATTATTTTGTTATTAAATACACTCTAGTTCTGTGTCTACTGTCCAATTCAGTAGACACTAGCTGTTGAGCACTAGATATGAGCCTACCACAGCACTAGGACTGAGATGTGTTGTAATTGCATACCTGATTTTGAAGTCTTGGTACGATACAAGGAATATGAAATATCTCATTCATAATTTTAACATTGGTTCCATGTTGAAATGGCAACATTTTGGGTACATTGGGCTAAATGAAATATATTATTTTTGGGCAACCCTCTTTCAGATCCCCTCCCTCTTGGGAACTTTTCTGTCTTCTTAATAAACTCCTGCAAAATATATATTATTTTTCCCCCTACTGGAACAGAGATTTTTTAATTATCCCACATCTCACTACTTAAAAATAACCATTACCAACATTAGATAAACTTTTCTGCAGATATTTCTGTATGAATAATTATAGAAAAAAGAGAACTATATAGCCCTTGTATTGAAGTGAAATACTACTTTTTAAAATCTTTGCATACATTTTCACAGAACTGATATCATACTATATATGCTATTTTAAGTTATAAAATATATTATTACAATTAATTTTATTTGTTTCTTTTACTTTTCTAATGTGGCTACTAGGAGGGTTTAAGTTTCATTTGTAATTCACATCTTTCTGAGTCAGTGGTGCTCCAGACTCAGTTTATAAAGGATAACTTTTTTTAAAAAGGTTCTTCCTATGTCTCACACATTCATTACACCTTGCTCCTTTCTGCCTATTACCTGTGGAGAGAGGAGTTGTTAACCATTGTGTATCTTGTTCTTTTTCTCTGATAGGCCTGTTATCTTAACATGCTTGCAGTTATCCTCTATGTGAATAAACAAGTGTAACTAACCCTAACCTTCTGGTTTTTCCCACATCATCCCTGACCTCCCTATCATTGTAATGTGGACTTGACAATCCAGGAAATGTCAGACTGTGGGATACCCTTCTTTCCCAACTCCTTGTCATCCTTAGACTTTCTGCCCTCTTCAAATATGCCTTGTGCAAAACGACATCCATCTGTTGTTGGGTTGCTTGAAATATCATGGTCCACACTCTAAGGTGATACCCAGTTTCCTCTTGAATCATGAGGGAATTCTCAGTAATGGACTCTGATTTGTAGCTCCAGATAGATTCCTAACATAACTGATCCTGTATTCTATAAAGCCTCTATTCAGAGTCAGGGTTCCAGTTAAACCAAACTATCAATGTCTTCCTGCTTACAGATAGGAGTCATCTCTTAGAGAGTATGGTGTGGTGTTTAGGAGATTTTCTTCTGCAAGCAGGAAGTCCTAGATTTGAATTACTGTTTCACTGGATAATAGGAGTATCATCCTCTAAGGGATATTGGGAGGATTCAAAGGGAAAATATATGCAAAGTACTTACCATGGGACTTGATATGTGTTAAGTGTATGCGTTTAATGTTAGTTATTATTATTATTTTTTACCCACTTTGAAGCCGTCATCTGAGATATTCTACCCCTACTTTTTAAGTCACTTTGTTTCATTTTTTCAGAATGGATCCTGATTTAATCTCCTTAATGAAGACTTCTAGAATAATACAGTTGAATTATTGATCGGTTGAATCATTGAGATAACCTCGCCTATGCTTTTCCCCCTCTGTCTCCTCTCTGCTGATTTGATTACTAATATCTCTTTCTGGGTTCTTTTAATTTCATTGACTTCCTTCTGATTATATATATGAACTCTGGGAAGGAGGGGCAGCATATTCTGTTTCCCTGGTAGTTCCTCAGATGCTTGGTGCTCCACACATTCCATGTGTTTTGTCGATTTTATTGACTCACTGACTACTTATTCTTTCTGGAATTCTGAGTGAGGCTTTACCAGAAAGTGAGATCCAAACCCCCGAGTCTTACCTTTTCTGTTTACAGCCCTTGTACTGAAGCAAAATGCTGCTTTTTGAAACCGTTGCAGAGAATGAAGCAAAGCATTGTGCTATAAAGCCTTATGTAAGGCAGGACCCTTCTCCATTTTGCTGCCTACTGTGATACTTAGATTCCTAGGTAGACAAATGTTCACTCTTTACACCTGGCTTGTGCTAAAGAGCCCTGTTCATTCTCCTGTCCTTATGGTCTCAGCCTTTCTCCATCTTTCTCTCTTCAAGCCTGGATCCCAGCCAGGCCCACACAGCCAGCATCCACCTGCCCTCTGATCTCCTTGTCTCTACCTGATAGCCTCTCTCAAGCCAAGGCAAACCCAGCCTTAAGCCTTATCAGCCTTATATTTATAGCTCCAGAGAGAGAAAGCTCAGGAAGAAGCTTTAAAAATATTTTTAAACATATGCAGCTGACAATTAAGTTCACAAACTCATCCTAGAAAAAGTGCTACACAGTTCTTTGCTGAATATCACTATGGTCACTTTCAAAATACTCCCCTTGGGAAGCTATGCGTCAATGCCAGCGCCTAGTCCACCTGTTAAAGCAATTTTGGTACTCTTTTTCTGGAATGGTCATCAAAGCTCTTATTGAATTATCCTTCATGTCCTGAATGTCATCAAATGTCTTTCCTTCAAGATTTCCTTTATCTTCAGGTAAAGAAAAATGTCACTGGGGCCCAGATCAGGTGAGTAGGTAGGGTGCTCCAATATAGTACTATATTTGAAATATATTATATAGTAAATATAGTACTGCCAACATAAGCTCACCATGGCAAGTTCGTGAACTTAATCGTCAGACTTCAACAAATAATGACATCAGTTCTGATGGCTATTCCAGAAAAAGAGTTCCAAAATTGCTTTGATGGGTGGACTAGACACTGGTATCAGTGCATAGCTTCCCAAGAAGAGTACTTTGAAGGTGACCATAGTGGTATTCAGCAGTGATGTATGTAGCACTTTTCCTAGGATGATTCGCAAACCTAATTGTCAGACCTGTTATACTGTTCCCACCAAAGTTCCTACCCTTCAGTCTTGGTGGGCCATCATTCTGTGTCACCTTGATCTATTTCCTTCTTGAGAAGAGGGACTTCTATGCCAGCAGATATTTGGCTTCCTTATTATTGAAAGGGAGGCACATTAATGACTTACTTAAAAGTAATAGGGGAGGCAAGAATACAAGAAATTGAAGTGGGAAATTGTGATGCCTAATGTTTAAACTATCACTGTGGTTAAATATGTTGGCTTCCACGGTTTTCTCCTTGGACCACAGGATTGCCAGTTAAGTGAAAGCAGTGCAGTCAAACGTTTTCAAGAGAATTGGGTTCACTCTCAAAAGTGCTGTTTTTCCCTACTTTTCTCTGCTATTCCTTGGTCATTGATACTAAAAAAAGAAAAAAAAGGATAACCTTGAAATGAGTTTCAGAAACAAATTCTTCCAGCTGATTTCCAGACCCTTTATGCTCCATTGATGTCTTCCTTTTGAAGTTGTAATATTGTCTGGTTAATAGAGAAAGAATTCATCCATTTAACTGAGCTTTTTCCCTCTAACCTAAGACTTAAGGTATATTAACCACTATCTTAATCGAGTTTAGAAAC